GTTTAATAATATAACATTTTATAAATATAATAATTAGATATTCTGTTAGAACTCAATAATTATCTTAATTATATTTTATTTTTTTTATATTTAAAATGAGATGTTTATCCTGTATTTGATTATGTTTATATACAATTAGTTACACGAATTTAGATATGAAAATTTAATAAGTTGTAATTAGCACAATCTACTTGCAATCTTGAGTTTTAAGTAATATGCATTAATAAACAGTACTTTATGCATAAAAAGTGGTTTTTAAGAGTTTTTGTCAAATATTTTATAATATAGTATAGATAAATAATTATGCAATCTATAAAATAAAGAATCTGTTCAAGTAGAAAATAATTTATTTTGGAAATTTTAACTTTTTTATTTTAAAAATATGTTAAAAAAATACTTTACTGAAAAATGTAAGATACTTTAACTCGATTCTTAATTATCATGTAAAAAAGTGTAACTTTTTACTTAAAAAAATACTATTATATTTAAAAAACCCCCCAACACATCAAACATGATTTTATTTTCTTATTCGAAAATCAGACGACTCTCCCACTTTACTGAGCGCCTTTTCATTCCATTAAAGAAATCTGAATCCCCTGCTTCTCGCTACTCCTTCTCCTCCAACTCAAACTCTAATCTCTACCGTTCAATTTTCATTCAATCAAAAGTCATCTACACCAACGGCCAGGATCGTTTATCAGAATTGAGTGTACAAATGGGCATAGAAACCTCAAGACGTGAGCTCTCTGTCTCTCATCATTCTATACTCCATTCATTGGGGATTGGGAGGGAGTTCAATTTGCTTTCGTTGCTCCGTACGTACCCGTTGCGTACGACAATCTTTCTTTGTCTCCTCGTGGAAATCAAGGTTTGTTATCTCTCAGTTTTCTTGAAATCTTGTACCCTCAAAAGGGGGAAAGGTTGAATCGGGTTTTCAGGTGTATACACATATATGTATATATATATATATGTCATCTCTGAACAAACCCCATCTCCAGTACTTACTTGGAGAGGATGATCTGATTATGATATGATTATGTGATTGAAGCTTATTTCATTTGAAATTGATTAAAATTAGTTCGAGTTTTTGGGAATTCTGCCATTTATCGTTAAATTGAATTTCCTGTATTGAACACCATGTGTTTGTTGATTTGCGTTAATCTTGATTTTGGGAATAAAGACGAGATATTCAACGGTGAAGATTGTTTTCTGTTATTCAATTCACTTGACTTAAAGCTTTAGCGGTAGAGCTTGAAATCGATATAATTGATGCAAATATTCTTTGACCCTTACGCCAACTTAATGTTCTTTCTTTTTGTTGATTTCAACTTAAATTTTTTTGTGTATCTATAGTCTTCTTTGTAAAAGAATTCGTTTCTGAGGAAGATTTTGGATTTGGGTGCTGGAATCTTCAATCTAAAAAGTTGATTTCAGCATTATGATGTGCTTTTTTGCTTCTATAGCTATGCATTGGCTTATAACTGTCTGCCTTTGTTTGAAGCTAATTTTCTTATCTATTGTGAATTGAACTTGAGCTTGAGGGAACTTTCTACATCTCGAATTTATTGGCGAAGAATCTATTGGGGATACGAGAATAGTATTACAGAAGAGGCAACTTTGGGTTTCTTGTACCTAAAAATTAGGTGAAAATTTCCCATTTTTCAAAAGTAGAGTCGAGGGCTAAAATCGAAAAGAAAATAAGTTTCATGGCAAAAGAAAAAAAAAATAGTAATCCATTAAGTAAAAGTAAAGCCATGACAAGACTTAGGTTTCAGTGTGTATAATATGTAATTAACGAATTAATAACGAACTAACTTCTTTCTTTGATAGGTTTGATGTTAGACTTGTATATATCACACCACACACACACCCCTATACGATCAACTTCTTAGAATCTCTTAACCACAGTGTTCAAACGAATATCCCTTGTGCCCTTGTAACACAGTTGTTCGATGACATTATCACACTAGCCAATATTCCATTAGTGTAAGTGATATATGTCGTTTCCATTTGTTAGTCAAGTTGGAACAATCTTAAGGTGTCTTTTGATATTTTGAAGTCTTGTTCGTTTGTTTTAATGGGTATCATCAGACCCTCAGGCCTCCACTAATACATGATCTTTGTTTTGTATACTTTGATGTCTGTCCTTATTGCTGTTACTGTTTACTGTCATTGTTGCCTGTTCGCACATACTCTTGTTTATTTTATTTCCTATGTCTCATGTGCTCTAGTTTCTTTTTGAAAAGTTTGCAAACCGAGGGTCTTCACAGAAACAACCTCTCCATTCCTTGCGGTAGAAGAAAGATCTACATACATTCTACCCCATAGAGGCTACTTCCAAGTGGGATATAAAATTGGTTCATTTGGTTTGGTTTGGTTAGGTTAATGAATAATTAGTTCTCCTTTCATATGTCTTTGTCTTTATCCGTCTTAAAAAACAAATTACCATCTTTTTCCTGCATTGAATCTTTTTAGAATACATGCATACAGATATATGTTTGTGTGTGTATCATATTTGGCTAGTTTCCTTTGCTGCTTAATTCTTCATTGTTTTTGGTAACCAATTGTTTTTTCTAGTTCAAGTCGTGATTTTCTTGTCTTGTGAGCTTTCAACTATTGTCTTTTAATCAAATTTAAGGTAACTTTAAAGAAAAAGAAAGCTAGATTTGATCATCTAGGGTTCCGGGAGGTGCACATTAATCATCACAATATTGACAATGAGTAGTAAATATGGAAAATCTGGCACTGCGAATTGGATATGTGGAACCCCCAAATTTATCTCCAAAAGAGTCCTTAAGGAGAGAAGGGAGGTTCCAACATATATGGAGGAGACATGGTCCAAGTCTAGCCTATGTGGGACTCTTAACACGCCCCCTCCAATGGAGGCTAGGCAGGCATAGATTGGCCCAGAGTGTTGAGAGGGGGCTAGGCGAGTACAGATTCTACCTGGGGTACAATCCCTAAAGTGGTAGACCTTGGCTCTGATACCATGTGGGAATATATGGAACCCTCAGATTAACCTCCAAAAGAGCCCTGAAGGAGAGAAGGGACGTTGCAACATATGTGGAGGACAAATGGTCCAAGTCTAGCCGATTTGGGATTATAACAGGGTATATAGCTGAAAAAATGGATCTTCAAAAAATTGTATGCATTCTCTGTTTTAGCTAAACACATTGCTTTGTTTTCTTGACTTCTATCATAACCGACCAGCTTCTCTTTTCCTCAATATAAGCGACTGATTATTGATTGACTTACGATTTGAAGTACATTGCTGTAGAAAAATGGTAATAATTGGGGCTTAAGAGCTTTTATCTGTGTGTGTTGACTTGGCTCCAAGGGACTCCTTATCAATCATTTGGAAGAAGTGTAGCTGATTTTATGAATGGGAAAAAATGGACATACACCGCCTTATGTGTTCAACGATCTGGTGAAAAGCAGCTGAATAATATGGGTGCTTCGGGAACAATGTCGTCGTCTATTCCAGTTATTCCTGCTCTGGAAGGGAAGTATCAAAAATTGGCAGATTCATTTCCTGTTATCTCAGAAAAGGAGCTATCAAATACTCTACTCCCTGATCGAAATCAAATGGTTTCTGATTCTGGGTTGCAAAATTCTCCTTTAGTTTCTAGGCCTTCAAGTGATATCGTGCCAATCCAAGTGAACCAAACGTCTCATTTTGTAAATGCACAATCAGCATCGTTAGTTGGTTACACCGGTCAAAACAATGCTATGTCGTGGAGTGCAGAATCACTTCAGGATATCTTGGATTTCCCTGAAAATGTCACTGGCGGGAATTCTCAGATCGAGACTCATAATTCTTTGATGCCATCTGGCGATAATGGTAGGGGAACTGACTGGCAGAAATGGGCGGATCAATTAATGAGTGTTGAAGACAACATGGACTCAAATTGGAGCGAAATCCTGGCTGATGTTGATGTGCCAACCCTGGAACCAAAGGTATTCTCCTCTTAAACTCTCTGCGTAGAAATGAATCTTTGAACTAGAGCTGATCATTTGCGGGCTTGGGCTGGGCCTAACCTAATTTTATTGTCCAATGGGACTAATATGGCAAACCCAACCCCTTATTTACGGGCTTGAAAACTTGCCCATACCCGCCCTATAAACAGGTTGGGTATAATCATAATCATAATCATAAGTTATGTACAATCAATTCAAAATACACAAATTAGACATAAGTTATGTAAAACAATTCAAAATACACAACTATTTTTCCAACTTAAAATTAGACATAAGTATATAACAATGTACATAATTTAGAAAAAAATTGTTTCGCAAAATATGGAGTATTGATAAAGGAAATGACCAAATGAGGTAATTATGTTTTTACTTTTAGATTTTTTAAGAATGTTATTATTATTAGTCATAATTAAGTGGGAATTGGTAGGTATCGAAAATGTTTAAGTGGGAAATCCTAATTCTTTTTCATCGCGACATTGCCCCATTAATTCTGGGCCCATCCATTTCTCCAAAAATGGTAATCCAAGAAAGCGGGCGGGGATTGGGCGGATATAGCGGGCCGTCCTGCCTGTGAACAGCTGTACCTTGGACATGAAAGCTTCTTCTCTTTACTAAACAATAAGAGAAGAAAGAAAATAAGGAACACTTATCCATGTACTCGGAATATTTGAAGTAACAGTTGGGTTGAGTTGAGTATGACTGTTCTTTTGTTTCGATTGAATGATGATTATCATCTCACGTGTTTTGTGTTCATTTGCAGTAGGGGATAATTACGTTTTCTTTCAGTTTTACGGCATGCTAATTTTTTATTTTTTTCTTAAGAAAGGTAAAGATAAACTTATAAACCACAGGCCTATGCTATGCAGCTTTTCTTTGGTGCACTGTATGTTTAAGCAAAGCTTATGATTTGTTTTTGATGATTTTCTCCGCTATAAATGGGAACCATTTTGTTGAGATTGAGATTGAGCAAGCTGATGGGAGGGAACTTAGGATCAGTTTAGAGAGAGAGAGGGGAGGTTCAGGGGAAAACCCTCAGAAAAATGAAAAACTAAGGAATACCCTGATAACCGTTCATTTGGATGGTATGCACCTATCCGTACTTCATACCATCCAGATGAATGGTTACCATGATGTTCTTCAGTTTTTCATTTTGCGTTTTTCTCTGAACCTGACCCTATATATATGTAAGAATGTGTATATTATATATATATATATATATATGTATATATATAGGGAGATTCAAATAAGAAGGCTAAATATCCTGAGAAGGTAAGAATGGGAAGGTTAAGGTACAGTTCATATGTTAATCATTGAAAAAATTCATTTGAAGATGCATATGTGAACCCATATGAATAATCTGTGACGTCAATTCACATATGCATCTTCAAATAGTTTTATGTTTTTCAGATTTTTTAAATGATTCACATATGAACCTTCTCTCCTTACCTTCTGACAATATCTACTTATTTGAACCGGCCCTGTATCTATAGAAAAATAAGCAGATTTGACATATGAAGTTCACGGACATGAAGAAGGGTTGTAGTGAAGTTCGATGATGAGCATTTGGATGCGATTGAGGGTTATTGTAATATATTGAGCATTTGGATGGGATCGTTTGGTCCGGATTCACTTTGTAATATTTTTGGTATTATAATTTGCTGATAATAATATACAATAAATTTATGAAAAACAGCAGCCTAACTTTAAAGAGGGGCGTATATGAGGGGGCAACGACCCCTATGGTGGCGTTGTCATTTCATTAGCTGTGCTCTCAGCATGTATATTTGACATTAAAATATTCCCCAATTCAACTTTGAATTGGAAAAGCACTACATTTGAATGTCTAGAATCAAATGTTAACCGGAGAATTTCATTTCTAACTATGGGACGCTTTACTGAAACTGTATGTTCCTTTGTGCAGCAAATACAAACTGTTTCTCGCCCTCCTGTGCCAACAACTATAGAAGCATATCCTGTCAGTAGCCCATCATCTACCGGAGCCTCAATCAAACCTCGCATGCGTTGGACACCAGAACTCCATGAATCCTTTGTTGAAGCCGTCAACCAGCTCGGTGGTAGTGAACGTATGTACCTTCATTTCAGCCTTTTACATATAAATTTGAAAATATTGCTTCCTTCGTCCCAAAATAAGTCTCCACATTTCTATTTATGTACTGTCCCAAAATAAGTGTCCGCTTTCATAAAAATAGATGTTTATAACTTACCAAATTTCCAATTCTACCCTTAGGGGCTGTTTGGTTGGTTTTCCATCAACTCCTGTATGGATAAAGCCGTTTGTGTAGATTAATTTGTCTGTATAGATTGGGAAGGTTGGAGGGATTTTTCATAGATGGAAGGAGTGTGTTTTTTTAATTGAGAGGGGCATTTTTGGAAAAAACTTGACTTTCTGCATAGAGCTCCTCCCTAGAAGCTTACTGAATAAGCCACTACCAAGTAGTCATGTATAGCTGACTGAATAAACTGCGAGTCCCATTAAATTCATTAAGAAGCTAACAAATAGGCCCTTAGTTAGGATGCACTAATATTTATGAGTTGATGAGATAGAGAAATTCATTAGTGGGATAATTATCCATCTCTAAAACTGTCTTATTAAGGGTAAAATTGTCATTAAGTAATAGATATACTTGTATCTCTAAAAGTATAATTATATTTCTAAAAACTGTATGCATTTTTCATGGTGAACATTTGTTTTGGGACGGAGGGAGTTATATTTACGAATTCATGACCATATCTTTTCTGCTGACTTTTCTGTTTTCGATTTAAAAGGAGCCACACCAAAAGGTGTTCTGAAGCTCATGAATGTTGAAGGCTTGACCATCTATCATGTGAAAAGCCATCTGCAGGTATGTTAGAAAATTATCTTTCTGATAATCTCGTTACCAAGCATAGGGTCTCATGTTTGACTTCTGAGGTCAAAGGAGATAATTTTTGCGGATTCAATATTAAAAGATTTGTTAAACATAGAAGAAAGAAGATGATATAATTTGGGTGAACATTCGTTTCTCTCGTTTCTTTTTGTGATAGAAGATGTGGGCATGGTATATTTGAGAACCACAAAAAGTATGAGAACCGGAGAACCTTTATACTCATTGATGCATATACACTAATGAATTTCAGTGAGCATATGCATCAATGCATATATACTTGCATACGTAGTAGATAAGTAGATATGCATTGATGAATATATTCATTGATGAAGTATCTATTTTGATAGTGTATATGCATCAATAAATATACAGGTTCTCGGGTTTTCAAATTTTTGTGGTTCTCACATGAACTTGATCCTAGAATTTATAGGCGTAAAAGTACTGATACATTACCTTCAACTTTTGATTCGAAAAATAGTTGGGTTGCCACAAAAGTCAAAATGGGACTTCCTTTTAGTGCACGGACGATTACCTTAATTCAGATTGATACTTTTTCTGTTATTTCGATTTCAGAAATATAGAACAGCCAGGTACAAGCCGGAGTTGTCTGAAGGTAATATTATTATTCTTCAAATAGATTTTAAAGGGGGAAATTGACCAAACTAACCATTTTGGACAAACATCTTCACTTTTTAGCCAACTTTTTCATGTTCGAACCAAAATAACCAAGATTTCGCCCCATTTCGCAAAATGTATTTTTTAAAATGATTCTGGTGGACCATTTCGCAAGCGGACCCCATCCGAATTATATTTGATTCGGAAAAAGTACATTTAGCAAGTTGTGAGATGGTCACTTACGAAACTTGGCTATTTTGGTTCAATTTCTCTTTTAAAGGACATTTATGATCTTTTATTGGCTAAAAATTTGTGATATTTGAACAACTTTATCATCGAAATTGACCAATGTGTTTAACTTGTGGTTCGACTATTATTAGATTCGTTTTTGATCGAGAAAACTCCTTAAATTTTGATCTTCGTTCAATATCCTTAATGCAGGAACGTCAGAGAAGAAGACGTCTTCTATTGATGAGATGGTCTCTATGGATATTAAGAACAAGTAAGACCATCTCTCTCTCTACAAAAACACACGTATATTGCATTGTTATATTGCAAAAGTGGTTTCCGTTCATTTGGTTTCACATGGTTTAGTTTGATTTAATTGATGGAGAAAATTTTGCAAGGGTATTTTAGACATTTAGCTATGACAACTTCTGCGTGTGTTATCAAACGTGACAATTCTCGTGGGGGCGGAGTGCGTCCTAGGTCCTATTTATGCCATGTGCATATATTACAAGAATACATTCCTAATGAATTTGGTGATTGTGGGTGCTCGGGCCCGCTTGCGCACAACCCGCCTAATCCCAAGACCCCCTGAAGATAACAGTCAGGAAAATCCCCAGTGGTGACCAATAGGGGGGAAGCAAAGGCCTAGCCTTTATTTGTCGATTTTGAAACTTACGTTAATGGTTTTGATGACAGGAGTTTGGGGTTCACTGATGCATTAAAACTGCAAATGGAAGTTCAAAAGCAACTTCATGAACAACTCGAGGTATGCCAAATAGTAGCGAAAATTATATTTTCTGTTAAGTATAGTAGTTCAAACACATTGTTTGTGAGATCCCACATCGGTTGGAGAGAGGAACAAAGGTTGTCTTATAGGATGCGTTTGGTATCCAGACAACATAAGAACAGGACAGAACAACTGTTCAACATTTGATAAGACAAAACAGAATAAAACAAGACAAAACAAATAAAATGACCAATTTACCCCTAATAAGTTGTTTAAATATCTGATTAATTTATGTAATTTATTAAATTATAATAAAATAAATATTTTTTGTATCAGAAGATATCATTAGGAAGTTTTTTAGGATAGTAAGTAAAAGTTTAAATAGCATAAAACACAGTATATAAAATCTAAATAACGAATAAAATGTATAGAGTGACATGTATTTGATGTTTTAGAAGAGAGACAAGTTCTATTTTGAGGTTATATTGGTAAAATAGTTCGATGGTTGGGGGTGGAACACGCTCGTTCCACTCTGTTCCACATAAAAGTTCTGCCAGACATGGAACAGTGATTCCTGTTTTGTTTTGTCTACCCTTAATGTTCCAAAAGTCATTGCTTAGGTTTTTTTGGTTATACTGAAATGATCAACTGATTGAAATATCGATTTTTTTCCTTCAGATCCAAAGAAACTTACAATTACGAATAGAAGAACAGGGAAAGTACCTTCAAATGATGTTCGAGCAACAAAGGAAGATGGAAAACGAAAGGCAAAAACCGTCCTCTTCTAGTCTAGATGACAACCCAACCGAAAAACCGAAGGCTTCAGAACGTGATGATCAATGCATATCAGATAAGGATCCCAAAAACTCGACTGAAAAGAGCAGCCAGAAGTCAACCTCCCAAATAGAAGTACAAGATGTTAACAAAACTAATATCGATAGCCGATGTAGTCCGCGCCCTAACAAACGTGCCAGACCCGATGAGGCGACAATGTCTTGATTTGTATCGCGTAATTTTGGATCTTGATTTCTCTTCTTGCTGTTAAAGATTTTAGGCTTCTGCACTTGGAGATTGATTCTGGAACTTGAAAAGAATGTTAGGTTTTTCTTTTACCTTTTTGTTTCGTAAGGTTTAGTCAAAATAATTTAAGTCCGTAATAAACGTGTTTGTGTTCATGAAAGTTGCATCTGTCTTTGGGTACTTTTTCTTTTGTACGTGTGTCCACAGAAACAACTGTTCTACTCTTTGGGGTAGAAGACAAAGACAGGTCTATATATATCCTATCTCATACCCGACATTTGACGGGACACACCAGATTAGGTTGGTTTGGTTTTGTGGTGTTTTACTACTTATTTGGAGAAATTGTCCAAAATAGCCATTCCAGACACTAATTCATTTTATAGTCAATTTTCTACTGGATTGACTGAAATGGTCACGATTTCTCAAGTAGCACTTTAATAACTTGTAAAATCTACTTTTTATGAATTTTGATATTTATACTTGTGAAATGTTGACATGACAAGTTACTTCGGCAAGTTGCATAAGTGACAGTTCCACTTGATAATTTAGTAAGTAGCATTTTAACAAGTTGTGTAAGGGGCTGTTCGGTTCATTTTTTATTAAGAACTGTATGAATAAAGTTGTTTGTATCGATAAAGTTGTCTGTATGATAATAGATAAGTTGTTCAGTTGTTATGCTGAATAAACAGTTTGAATGTCAACAATGACCATTTTATCCTTAGTCTATATCGAACACTATTAAAACATTTGTTTGATAAATTTTTTGAATATTTGACTTTGAATGATTAAAAAAATATCAATATAAAAGTTTTTTTTAATAAAAACAATTTGACCTAACATGAATATATGATGATATAAATTTAATAAAAAGAGAATAAATGGATTAATAAATGGCTGAGTACAAAGAACATCACTTTTGTAGTTGAGCATTTCAGCCTATGACTGGCCGAATAAGCCAATACCGAACAGTTGGATATGGCTGTGCGAATAAGCCATATCCTTTATATGGCCCATTAAGCTTCTATCGAACATCCCCTAAGTGGGACTTTTAAATCAGCATTTAGCAAGAAGCACCTTAGCAACTCATGAAAATCTTAGTTATCTTAGTCGATTGAGTAGAAAAGTGGCTAAAAAGTGATACATACATATTATGATTACACATTCTCTTAATTATGCACAGGTATATCTCCTCTATACAGCCTTTTTTAGAAATAGAAAAAGATTCAAAAAGGTTCCACATATTCTAACAATGTCACCAATGAGATTGAGGGGATGTTTACCAAACGCTTATCCAGGGTAAGCGCTTACCAAGTCACATTACCTTACCGAATCAATATGACAAGGACCAAGAATCTTACCTGGTAAGAGCTAAGGCAAGGACTAAGAGTCTTACCTGGTAAGTGATGGCGACGACTCTTACCACGTTTAGCACTTATCAGGTTAGTTGTTGCATACGATAACGTTTTGATGGACTAAAATCTTATTCGATAAGTAATTAATAGTTTTGAGTTTTGCCAGTAAACACTTATCCGGAAAAGTGTTGGTAAACACCCCCTGAGTTTGATGCAGAAGATTCCCATTGTATGGTGACGTTTCCAGACCAACTATCAAACACTTCTATAAAACCTTGTTTCTAATTGAATACTTGACATACAATTGGCTCTGGGCTTCATAAATTGCCCAACAAATCTCCCAAACCATAGACTACAAATAAGCAATAACCAATCAGATGGCAGCTGCTTGTTCTGCAAAAAAGACATGATGCCGCCCTTGTAAAGTCTGTATTGATCCCACGATCATCATGAGAGAGGTAAAATACGTGTCCCAAGGGCAGGTGGATGTCCACCTCTTTACGTGTTAGGTTAACGCCACAGGGACACACAATAAGAGGGCGGGGGACTGCAAATCTAACAGTTCTATAGAACTCGAATCTTGGATAATGTCTCTCGTGTCTTCGAAAGTCAACTATTGATTCACGTGCAACAGGGAACGAGTCAAGGCTATCATATACTCGAGTCTTTGAGGGGATACAACTGCTTCTAGTGATTATAAGTCTCTGCTAATGTTGCAGTATTAAGTCTTTCCTAGAGGGTATCCGAAAGTCGACTATGTGGAATAAGGCGTTGCTAAAAAAACTTAAACCAAACAAATCCAGTAAATCACACATAGGTATAGGGTCGGTGGGGGGTTGAATGTATACAGATCTTTCCTCTATCTCTAACCCAAGGGGCAGAGAGACTGTTTTCGTGAAGACTCCCAGCTTGTAAAGGAAAGGGAACAAGAAAACAAACTACAGACGTGTGTGAGAGTGTGAGTGAATGTGCGTGCAAACAAACAATGAGAGCAGTTAAATAAGAGGCGGTAGAGACAAAAGTGAGGAAAATCGGTTAAGTCAGAGGAAACACATAAAATGCAAGACCGAGAACTACTAGTGCAAGAAGAAAAAATAAGGTCCGTTTGGTTTGTAGGATTGGGTAGGATTTGTAGCGATTTGAAATTCAGTTCCATTCCAATCCCATGTTTGGTTTGAAGGTTTGCTTGGAACAGAAATCCCACAAACATGGGATTTCATTGAAATTCCATGGGGGTTGCTGGTATTTGGTGGGATTTCGTAGGATTTGTGTGTAATAATGTTTTAAAATATGTCGAAACATTTGTTACTTATATAATAAAGTAAAAAGGTAACTTAATTATTTTTATAGAAAATGGAATTCAATTCCATTCTAAATCCAAACACACCAAATATTCCAAAACCAAATCCCTCACATTCCAAATCATTCCCCGAAATCCAAATCCCTCAAAAGCATTCTATCAAAGCAAACATCGCCCAAGGGTTTGTTTGGTTTGTGGGATTTGGTAACATTTACAAGGATTTGGAATTAAATTCCATTCCAATCCTGTGTTTTGGTTTGAAGTAAAGTTTGGATTTAGAAATCCCACAATTGACGGATTTAGAAATCCCTTGTTTGTCATTTCAAATCCAAATCCAAATCCCATGATTTCAATATTGTTTCCATCACATCTCTACCTCGTATCTTCATCAAATCTACCCTAATCTCTCTATCGCCTCCAAACAAACAAATTATTTATAAAACAGACAACTACAAACCAAACAAGATTTATTAAAAAAATCCAAATCCCACAAACCAAACACACTAAAAAGATTCAAAATCCATCCGATTCCAAATCCTTCCACGAAATCCAAATTCCTCAAAAGCATCTCATCAAACCAAACAAGCCCTAAGACTAGTGTTCAATAATAGATCGCACAATCGCTCTACTATCTGAGGTAGAGGTCAGATCTGCATACATCTCACCCCCAAATCCCAAATCCCACCTCACGTGGGATATACTGGGATTGTTTGGTTTGGATTAGCAAACGAGAAAAGGAGGAAGCACAACAACGACCCTCTATCTGTCGTAAGACTCAGGTAACCTAACTGCTACCGCGCTACCCCCCCC